AACCTCAGTGCTGGGATTACAGGCATATGTCATTACACTGGGCCTCCCGAGTATTATAATTTTTGTTGGCAGTGATGCTTTTATTCTACACTGATCTAGCAGAGCGGAGTTCCTCTCTGACGCCGACTTGGTCTTGGTCAGTATTCTCGTGACCTTTAGAAAGACCTCATGACTGTATGGTATGAATGAAGTCTAAGGAAGTATTCTCAGTGTGTCTGACACCAAGGAGCTTGTTCATCTGTTAAACAGGACGGGGGAGAATCTTGGTGTTAAGCATTCTCAGGGACCAAAGCTGTATTATTAGTTCCTTAGCATAGACTTTCTAAGGACATAGCCACGTTTTTCCTTGGTTTTACTTACTCATGGCTAGATTCTGTTGAGTTGACAAAAGCCACTTGGCACACCAATCCCATTACAAGCCAGTTTACCACACAGCAGGCCTAAACTTTTTCTATTTCTCCTTGACACATGACAGTTGTTACTGGTGAATTTTAAGAATCTGTTATTTAGCGCTTAAGTGATTTTTTCACATCTGGCAAGATTCATATCATATATTATTAAGAATTATAGGGATGGTAATGAGCATTTGGTCCAATATCACTACTCATTTTTGTCAAACACATTTTTCTTATGTTATCAAATGCAACAGAAGAATATTTTTTAAAAGTAATAGCTGTTGCATCAAAAGATATCTACTTAAAAAATTGATAATTCTGTAGAAAAAAGATGACCATGTAAATAAACATCTAATTCAAATGTACCCAAAGTAAATTTAAAAATATAGTCATAGGCCATGGATTCAGGGAGGATTTATTTATTCATTTTTAAAGATTTATTTTTATTTCATGGTTGTGTGGGCATTTTCCTATATGTATGTGCAACACCTGCATGCAGTACCGGCTGAGGCCAGAAGAGGGAGCTAATACTGCTTGTTCATCACCACACTGGCTCTAGGAACCCAACCTAAGTCCTCTGCAAAAACAGCAAATGGTCTTAAGCACTAAGCCATCTCTCCAGATCCAGAGGACTTATTTTTTTCTTTTCCCAATATTCTCCCGATTTGTGAAAATATGTGTGTGTTTTTTAACCTTTCTGTGCCTCAGTTTTTCTACCTCGAATGTTGAGGGCAGGTTCTTCAGGTTGATGGATTTTGAACTGAGAGTGTGTTCTGTCGTACTCTGGAAATGGTAGGTAGGAGCATGATGCTGAGAACTGCTCTGAAACATGTGTGACGAAACTCAGCTTGCGGACTTTGGAGCCTGCTCACGAAGCTGGAAGCGCATGGAGCCTTGAGCGCCAAACAGCTAAAGGGAACACTGGGTATAAAGTTTGCGTGACTCGGTAAGACTTCATCTTGTTGTACAGTGAGGAAATAAAACATGGACTTCAAAAAGAAAACCATTGAAAGATCAACTTATGACAGCAGGATGGTTCCTTTATGTTCTACTTTGGTTTCTGTGCTGCATGTGTGCCCCATCCATTCTGTTGCCTTGAGTTTGACATGAGAAACATTGAACTTCCTGCTTCTACGCACCTTAGCCCTGATGCCGAATTGTCTGATGCCAGGAAAATGCCAGGAGCTCCCCAAACACTAATGCCAAAGAGTCTCCTTGAAGAATTCAGATTTCCTTTGTTAGAAGACCTTGCATTTCGCTCCAACAGTGTTTGTGCACTTTACAAAAATTTGAAGCTGTGGCTCTTTAGTTATGTTCCTTGTTTCCTTTTTAAGAGGATAATTTTTATTTCATCATGAAATTAATATAATGAGAGAAAGAAACGGAGATCAAAAAGAACATCAAATGTTGGTTGCATAAAAGTTTTTTCCCCCCACATAAACGTAGTAGGGGAAAATGCTTCCAGTTAGTTCACGTACATAATAATCAGTGTCTAAGACTTGCGTATATTTTGCTTCATAGAAGTAGTCGTAGCATGTTATAATTGCCTTATGTAATAAAAAGGCTATTAAGTTTTCCAATAATATTTATTACCCTGTATATGTTTTAAAATAAAGTGACATTTCTAGCTGAGTATGTGTTGGCTTTTCCCGTTGCCTGGATTCTTATGTACTTTTGGGTTCTATGTCATCCCACTGTGTCACCGTTCTGTTTCATTCACATGTAAGCTGGGCAACCTATCTTTTCAGACATCCTTACGCCATTAAACAAATGCAGCATAAACAAGTGTAATACATCTTTGCCCAGTTAAAATAATATTCCCCAACAGAGAGGTTTCCAGCCAAGGACATGAAAAAGGGCTCAGAGTGGAACTGGACTATGTTAATGGACGAGAAGGCAAGTAAGTAACAAAACTACAACCAATCTAAGTAAAAGTAACTGTCATGATGGACCAGAGGGTAGAGGTAGGGTGTAATTAAGTTGCCTATACATAACACTGTATCTTTTTTATATTTAGTTAAAATATCTGGGGATCTTGCCATCTTCTCTTCCCCCTAATTTCACATACACACACACACACACACACACACACACACACGCATGCACGCACGCACTCAAGCACATAGGTGCACACACACTTTGCAGTAGTAGGACTTTTCTCAACTACCACGGAGTTGGGGGTTTATAGTAACAAAGATTGGTTACTATGCTCCGGTTGTATGCTGGAAGGACTACTTCCTCTCGAAGGCTCTGACACTACCCACTCCTTGCCCTTTTCAGATTTTACAGTGTGTCTACATTCTGTTGTTCTTGCCTCCTTCCTTCCTTGGCACACCACCTGACTCTTGCCATTTTCACCATTCTCTTAGACCTACTAGAAAGATTCTGAATCAATTTTCCATTTTAAGATGCTTAACTTTATCTGCATAACATGTTACATAATGGGCTGTGAAAACTGTAACAGGGACATCGCTGAGCAGGCATAATTCTGCCAACCGTTTCGCCAAGTGAGCCACTTAGGAAGGGCAACTCCAGCACAGGTGTTGCTTATGGAAAAGATGCTCTCTGCTTTTGTAGCAATATAACCAAGATGTACACAAGAAAACTTGTATCAGCCACACTTAGGGTCCAGTCATGGCGGTCCAGCACTCTGGAGGCAGCGGCAGGCACATCTCTGAGTTCAAGGCCAGCCTAATTTTTTTGTCTTTTTTTTTTCTTTTGGAGACTAGGACTTATACAGTAGCTCAGGCTGCCTTAAAACTGTGGAGATAGCCCAGGCTAGTCTTAAACTTGTAGCAATCCTGCTGTCTCTGTCTTATAAGGGCCTAGAAAAACAAGATGTTAAAACTTTAAAAACATCCCATGATTACTGCCTGAACACTCACAAAATATAAGAATATGGAACATTATGCATTGGAAAAATGACTTGGGCATTTAAGGAGCCTGCAACATACTAAGTAGGCAAACCCACACACGTACACACGCACGCATGTGCACATACACACACATACACATACACGTGTACAGACACATGCGCGTAGACACCCAGACCACATTCATACACGCGCATGCATGCACACACACATGCATACACACGCGTGCAGACACACACATACGGGGAGCATGCACACATACACACTCGCGCACACACGTGAGCACACACATGCACGCGCGCATGCACGCGCGCGCGCGCACACACACACACACACGAGTCCACTGTGTGATGCAGGCCAGATAATGAACGTGAAAGTAGTTTAAAGATAATCATGATGATAGCAGACAGCTGAGGCAGAGCTGTATCTGGGATGGTTAGGACGGTGGCAGAAAAAGCGCCACAAGTCAATTCTTTATTTTGGTTAAATTACAGTGTTGATCCCACATACTCTCGTTCAAATGAACCAACCAGTATTTTCATGATAAAAACTGCCCTTTGGAGGTATCTGCTGGCATCTTTATCAGTCAGTCATTGCTGCCAAATGAGACGTCATTTCGTCTTTCTTATACGTCTCAAGGTCAGTGGGGCAGTTTAGCTGCTGCGGACCACCCTGCCCCTGCCTGCAATTGTGAGTTAGCCAGGAGTCAGGGGCGTAGCTCTGTTCCTGATCTCTTGTCCTACACGGTTCCCTTCTGCCCACCAGTCCGGGCTTCTTATCAAGGTTCATTCTAAGATCTGGCATTTTTCTTCAGGGAACACCAGTCCAGTGCCGAGGCAGAATGAGGGAGAGAGGGATGCAGTTACTGTCAAATGTGTGCACACTCGGAGAGGTGAAGGTTAGAGCCGTTCTTCGTTAATCGACCGGATCAAAGTTCAACTAGCCTATCAGGACTCTCTGCCTTATACTTCATCTCGAAATTACCTGAACAAGGAATTAAGCAAACTAAGTCCTCCTAGCGAGCTCTAAGACAGTCGGGTGAAGGTTGGTTGTCAAGTTCACAGCAGAGCAAAAGCTTTTAGGTTAGCTGTTCGGGCTCCCAAAGCGTTAAAATAGCAAACAGGAAAACTACGTTTGCTGTTTCTCTGTTTCAATGAACATATAGTTCATTTTACAAGGATTCCTTCCCTACAACACCCCGGATTCTTGAGGTCAGTCACAACCGGGAGTAACAGATTCAAGAGACCTTCACACCTCCAGGCCTCAAAACTGAATTTCTTCCATCTGGAAGCAGCCGAGGAAAGCTTAGGAGTGCGTTTCCTGCGCATCCCGTGGAAAAGAACTCTGGTCTAAGTGTAGCAAAACGGGCTCTTACCAAATCACAAGCTTTACCAAACCACAAACCTTGCCCAATCAACCACTCGCTCTTTCCCTGGAAATCTGCCTTCCTGGTCCCGCCCACTTGCGCCCTTTGCGGCCAAACCGACGCACTCAGGTCCAAAGGCCCCACGTGAACGCTCCTAGGAGATCATATTTTAAATACGATCACACAGAGCTCCGATTTTGATCAAAAGCCACGTCGGAAGACAGAAGTCTCGGGCCCCAGCTCGCTGCCCGAGCAGAGCGTAGCGCCGGGCCCGGCGAGCGCCGGGGGAGGGGGCGTGGCCTCTCGGCTCCCGCCCCCGCGCGCATCTGACGTCACTAAGCTGCGTCCCAGGGCTCGGCGGCGGCTTTGGTACTGGCGGCGGTGCCGCCGAAGGCTGTCCGAGGTAGGCTGCTCTTGGCTCTCCCATGGAGGAGGCGGCGCTCGCTGCGGTTCCGGATGCACGGACTTCCTGCGGGACGACGGCGGAGGCGGTTGCCGTGTGCGCGCAGGAGCGAGCTGCCTGCCTGGGTGTGTGAGCGGGCACCCGGGTCGCCCGCCGGCCTGCGACAGCGCTAAGGTAGCTACTTCCTGTGAGCCAGCTCCGGGGCCGTCTGCGGGCGGAGAGAGGCCCCAGGGCCGACTTTGCTTTTGGCGTGTTGTCAGGTGGATGCAGCTTCCCCAACGATCCGCAGTAAGGAAGTCCGTGGTGAGTCGGATTGCAGTTCAGTCCGGCGGAAGTGTGGCTGCATGGCCCTGTCCCGTCGCATGCTCGGCTCGATAAGTTCTGTTAGGTTAGTTTGATTTGCCTTCAGGAGTTTTTAGAAGGTGGCTTCAGCTTGGTGACATATTGATTATTCTTGTTTTTAATTCCGTAGCACTTAATAGGGTCGATGGACCCTTTTCATGTTACAGAGATGCAATGTTGCGGGTTCATGCCGCTTTCGTTTCTTTACGATAATGTCAACGAGACATTTAGGACTACATCTTCAGTTCTGTTTCTTGAGATTCTGTATCGTATGCTCATTTCATACTTTAAAGTTAAAAGAGGAAGTCCGAGAGCAGAGGTCTTTACCTTCCAGTCAGCTGTGGTTTTTATAGTACGAGCTAAATGCAAAGCACATGGAGGCCAATAACCGTATTTTTAAAAGTATTTAGTAATTTTCAGTCCCTTTCATCGACCTTCATATTTTCTTCTTTCCAGGGTGGAACTAACTACTTGGCCATGGTTAAGAACTTTAAATGGGAATAAAGAATAGCATTTCCAGGAAAATGAGAATGAACAGATCATCTCTGCTTTTAAAAAGAAAGACCATATTAAGCTCACATGTAAGTCAAAACTTTAGTTTCTAACAGCGTTGCTAAGTCAGGTTGGAGTTAAGGTTCTGTCGCATACGTTTGGGTTTAAAATTTTAGCCAAGGAACTGGGGAGTTCGCTCCACTGGCAGAGTGCTTCTTCGTGATCGCCTTCCTAAAAAGCCCAGCGTCTAGGAGCAGCACACACCTGTCCAACTAGTCTTGTTGAATCAGTAAGCTCTGGGTCCATTGAGAGATCCTGTCTGCGAAATTAAGGTGGGGATTGACCAAGGATACTACGTCTTCCACAGATGTGAACCCCTCCCCCCTTACACACACACACACACACACACACACACACACACACACACACGCATGCCCGCAAGAAAAATTAGAGCTAGATGTGACGTTAGAACTACTAAAAGTTTTAGAGGCATTGGATATGGTGGCACAAGTCTAGTTCGAGCACTCAGGAGGCTGGTACAGGGGGATTTATTTCAAGATGAAAGCCGGCCTGGACTGGGTGGAGAGACTCTTCTGTCTTATTTAAAATGAAACAAAAATTCTTTCAAGTTTTAAGGTGATATGTAGCAGTCAGGAGTAGTAGACCGCCTCTCCTGAGAGCCTGCATTGTGAGATATGCTTTCACTGTGGCTGTATGCCATTGCAAGTAGATGCTGTCTTGTTGTATTGTGTCAAGTAAGTGTTATTAGGGATAAGAAAAAGAGTTCCACTTGTTTTTGAAGATAAAAAATAATTTCCACATGACTGAAAAGTACCCTTTCTTTTTCCTATAGAAACTATAGAAACCTTCACCTAAACTCGGAACTATTTTACCGACGTATGTTGTGGTAGAAGACTTTCTCTGCAGAGTGACATAGTGATGGTGTGGGGTAAATAAGAGAACTAGGTGAAAGGGTGCAAAGTGACAGGTGTGTGGAATAAGATGCTAATGCATGGCATGAAAGTTAGAGGTGATAAAGATTGTACTAGATTTTAAAAGTCCCTGCTTGACAAACCAAAGTACACACGTCTGTACTGTAGAACTAAGCATATATTTGAGATTGCAATATGCCCAGCTATATATATATATATATATATATAACATTTTGTATATACTTAATTGTATTGATCTTGTGTAAATAAATTTGAAGTTAACCCTTGTATAAAGTTCTGTGATTGACCGTAGGTAAGAGTAACTTGTGGTCTGGCAAAATAAATGGATTGCAGGTGTGTTTGATGTCTGGCGTATAGAGGCTCTTACAAGGTCTGACACCTAAGTTATTCTGTGGTATCCCACCTAACTCTGCTCACGTAGGCTCAACCCTAGTCTCTCTCTTTTCCTAGAGGACAGTGTATCTTTTTTTATGTCAGAGCTTTATTGTATTGCTGGTTTGTTCTTTTCCATCCCTTTCAAGTCTGCTCCTCAAGACCTCCTCCTCAGCCCTTTGGCCCCTTCAGTGTGCTTTATCTTTTCCTCAGTGCACTGTCCTTTGTTGTTTGACCCTGCCCCCGCCTGGGAGGGGCCGTTCCTGAAGACAAGAGCTCTGGTCTGTTTTTGTCATGACTGTACTCGTTCTTAAATTCATTATGGACTCAGAACAGCTTTGCTTAAGTAAATGTTTTAGGGAAGCCAGTTCTTTTTTGAGAGCCATGGTGAAGGAGGTTACGATCTACAGAAGTCACATTGAGAAAGGTTAGAAATCCAGAGTGGTACAGTCTGAAGACTAGGGAGTTCTGGAATTCAAGCAGTGCTTGCTTATAGGCGTGCCTTTTGACTGAGCCCTTTGCAATGGAGGCAGGGTAAGTAAACAGAGAAGTAGGAGTAGGTTCGATTGACAGTACCCAACCTTGGAGAGAACACAAGGCACGTGAAATACAGTATTAGGAAATAGGATATAAGAGTTGATGTGGGACACATGAAGGGTTTTAGTTACTGGGTTACAGAATTAAGACGATCAATAGTGGGTGATCATCCTAAGATTTTTATTTTTATTTATGTACTACATCCTAACTCCTAAGTTTTTCTCCTAAGCCAGAGAATAAGATTAGCAAGGATGTTTTCCACCCCAGTTGACAGCATTGTATGGTGTAAATTGAACTAGGGCCAGGAGAAATGGAAGTGCAGAGCAGATGGCAGACCTGTCTGTCCTCCAGGTAGGATACCTATTTTGTCCACTTTGGATGGATGATGAGGACAGTGACAGCATTGTCAGAGCAGCGGGAGGATAGCATGGGATAGAGAAGGTCACTGACACCTGGTTTCAGCTGTCAGTTCCCTGCTGTGACTAGAAGACGTCTCCTGGGAACTAAGGATGGAATCTGAATGGAGGCCTGGTTCTCCTACCTGCTGCTGCATGACAAGCATTGTCATGTCTTGGCCTCACCCCTGGCCTCATCCACATATCTTCTCAAGCCCTTGTGGGAATGAAACAGGAAAGATTGCCAAGTTGAAAGCTGTGTATATAGTTGAGTTGGTGTAATTTTTAAGTTTGCTCATTTTGGTGATGGAGTTTCTCGTTTGTCATTTTGTAAAGAAAGTATCGGTATAGGCTTTTCTTATATATTACAATACATGAGAAATATACCATGCTTCCCACCCCCACTCCTTAAGATACATATTCTCTGTGGTGTAGGTGAATGCAGATTGAATGTCAGCTTTCTCAAGGTGTATTTCACTTCAGATATACTTGTATTTAATGGAAGTTTGCATTTTAAGTTTGTAGAATCAGTTGTGAAAATCTTAAGTTTGTTAAAATCTACAGCAAGATGGAAATTACAAGTTTAAAATGTGCTTAAGAATCGAATCTAGCCTGGCGTGATGGTGCATGCCTTTAATCTTAGCCTTTGGGAGGCGGAGGTAGAGTGTGAGGTCAGTACAACTTTCAGTACAGCCACAGCTACGTAGACTTTTTCTCAAATCAAAACAAGATTGGAGCTCATGGGCTAGGTGTGGTGGTGTACTACTTTAATCCCAGCCTTGGGAGGTAGAGGCAGGTGGATGTATCTCTGAGTCCAAGGCCAGCCTGGTTTACAAATCTAGTTCCAGGCCAGCCAGAGCCATACATTGAGGCTTGTTTTCTGGAGAGTGATCCTTGAACATGGGAACCTTTGATCGATGGTTCCTTGGGCTTTTGAACTCGAGTGCCTGGTATATAATAACTGCTCAGTGTATTTGCTGAACAATCTTCCATGTAAATGGTAGTAACAGTTGGGGGCCACTCTGCCTGGGGCCTTCTGAGAAATAGACTTACCGTCTTTTGCTTGGAAATCTAGGTGAAGTTAAATTTAGCAAATTTGCTTTTCCCTTTCTACCCAAGATACACACAGGCTGTTGAGCCTTCCTCAGCCCTGAGATGTGCCAGTGTGTACCGTGTATGTGGGTACACATGTGGAGGCTTGAGAACGAAGGTATTGGGTGTCCTGCTCCGTCGATTGCTGTCTCACTGAACCTGTAGCTATGCTGGCAACAAGCAAGCCTGAGCAATCCTATTTCTCTGCCTTCTCCCTCCTGTTTCCAGGACTGGTGTTATAGGAGCTGATGAGGCCATACCCAGCTTTCTGAAACATGGGTGTTTGGGATTGAACTTGGGTCCTCATATTTGCTGAGCCTTCTTCCAAGCCTTCTATGTCTTCTTGTTTAGCTCTCTGTAAGCTTGGCCCTGTCTTATAAAAAATGTGTCTATGGCCTGTGCTCTCAGCTGTGGTTGACCGTCAGTTACAGAGAGTGGGAACAGGGAACTACCAGACCAGGGATTAGCAAAGCCACTCATTTCTTTTGGGGCTTCACACCTATGCCCTATTATTAAACCTTAAGTCCAAATGAGATAATTTATTTTGATAGTTCAGTGGCTTGTGGTTGCCTTAGAATTTGAAGACAAGCCTCCCATTCCTCCCGCAACTGGAATGTCCAGAAGCGCACACAAACTGAAAAAGCAACCTTAATTCTAGAAAGCCTGTTGAGTCAAATGCGCTACCACAATGAGTACTTTTGTGGGTAACCACCACAGATATCCAAAATAATTGTCCGTAAGGACCTTAGTGAGTTTGCAGATGAACAGTTTATCTTCTGGGAGCTGAAGACTTGACAGAGTGGTGGAGAGCACTTGTTACTCTTGCAAGGACCCACACTCACAGCCGTCTGTAGCTCCTGTCCCAGGAGACCTGACACCCTCTGTGAGGACAGCAGCAACACACGCGCGTGCTTTCATGTAGGCAAAACACTGAAACAGAAAATAATCCTCTAAACATTTTTTAAAGTCTGTCTTCTAAGACAGAACAGTAATTGAGAATTTTTTTAAACCACGTGTACATGATTGAGTCAACTTGTCCCCAAAACCTTAACTTCGTACGTTTGGTTAGTATATAAGTAAAAGTCCAAAAAAAAGGGAAAGTAGATTTTAAACAGTATCATGAAACTCTAAATGTGAAGGAAATTCATATATAAGGAAGGCATAATAAAATAGGAGCAATTAACTTTTGTTGACCTTAGGATAAGATGAATCCCTTTCTAGAATTAAAGTTGCTTTTTCAGTTTGTGTACTTCGGAAAATATACCAGTTGGGGAGTGGGAGGCTTGTCTTCCGATTCTCAGGCAGCCACCAGCCACTGAACTATCAAAATGAATGATCTCATTTGGACTTTACCTTATTGGTTCCGGGGATTGACCCTGGCACTAGGCATGTAAAATATTTTCTTAGTTTCCTGTACTCAACCAGAGAAAGAGCACAGTGCACAGCATAGCAGAGCCTTGTGGGTGTGAGGTCATGAAGAACTGCAGGAGGCAGACTTCCATTAGAGAGTACCTCGTAGTTCCTGCAGGAGGAGTGGCTGCCTGATTGATAGGACTGAAGCCCACTACATGGCTTACACAAAACGGCCCAGTTACTGTGATAAAGACAGTTTAGCGCAGGGTCTGGAGGGGAATTTGTGGCAGTCAGTTCCAAGTTTTCCTACCATAGTAGATGTCAAGGCAGCAAATATTAGTGTGTCTGTTTGCTTTAATTTTTCTTCAGTTTTATGTCATCTTGGTA